CTTCCTTCCTTCTTCTCTTCATCCCATTCTTCCTTCCTTCTCTGTTTCCTTCCCTTTTCTCTTTCCTTTCTTCCCTCCCTCCTTCCCTCTCTCCTTCCATCTTTCTCTTCTTCACTTTCGTCCTTCCTTCTCTCTTTCCTTCCTCCTTCCCTCCCTCTTTTCCATTCTCTTCCACCCTTTCATCCTTCCCTCCTTTTGTCTTTCCTTCCAACCAGTCCATCCTCCAGGAAGTAAAGCCCGACTGCTCATTGGAGGGAAGGAGAAGAGAGGCCAAGATGGAGTCACATCGTGAGAAGACAGGAAAGCTTAGAGAGGACCATGATGCTGGGGAAAATGGAAGGAAAATGGAAGAGGGGCCGACCAAGGGCAAGATGGATGGAGGGCATCCTTGAAGTGTCTGGTTTGACCTTGAAGGAGCTGGGGGTGGTGACGGTCGACACATCATGAGAAGACAGGAAAGCTTAGAGAAGACAATGATGCTGGGGAAAATGGAAAGAAAAAGGAAGAGGGGCCGACCAAGGGCAAGGTGGGTGGGTGACATCCTTGAAGGGACTGGCTTTACTCTGAAGGAGACCCTGGGGGTGGTGACAGCTGACAGGGAGCTCTGGCCTGGACTGGTCCATGAGGTCACAAAGAGTCGGAAATGACAGAACAACAACAACAAAATTACTATATTATATCATATTGATGTATTGTCGAAGGCTTTCATGGCCGGAATCACAAAGGGTTGTTGTAGGTTTTTCCAGGCTATATGGCCATGGTCTAGAAGCATTCTCTCCTGACGTTTCACCTGCATCTATGGCAAGCATCCTCAGAGGAAGTGAGGACTGTTGAAACCCTGATTGTTTCCTCTCTGTTGTTTTGCTGTTGTAATTTTAGAGTTTTTTAATACTGTTGGCCAGATTTTGTTCATTTTCATGGTTTCCTCCTTTCTGTTGACATTCCCCACATGCCTCTTATGGACTTCTCTGTGTAGCCTGACATGGTGGTTGTTGGTGTGGTCCAGCATTTCTGTGTTCTCAAATAACATGCTGTGTCCAGGTTGGTTCACCAGGTGCTATGGCTGACTTCTCTGGTTGAAGGAGTCTGCCATGCCTTTCATGTTCCTTGATGCATGTCTGGGCAATGCTGCTGTGTTTGGGGGTCCCCATCTATGTAGACTTCTTGCCCACAGCTGCATGGGATACAATGGTAGACTCCTGCAGAAGGGAGAGGATCCCTCTTGTCCTTTGCTGAACATAGGAGCATTAGGTTCTTGTGGGTTTTTTCGGGCTATAGAGCCATGTTCTAGAGGTATTTTCTCCTGACGTTTCGCCTGCATCTATGGCAAGCATCCTCAGAGGTAGTGAGGTCTGTTGGAAGGAAAATGGGTTTATATATCTGTGGAATGACCAGGGTGGGACAAAGGACTTTTGCCTGCTGGAGCTAGGTTGAATGTTTCAGTATTTGGCATACAAACAATCTACAAACCCACCAAGAAAATCCAACAAATGCTACGTTCAGCAAAGGACACGAGGGATCCTCTCACCTCTGCAGGAATCTACCATTGTATCCCATGCAGCTGTGGACAAGAAGTCTACATGGGGACCTCCAAACACAGCAGCATTGCCCAACACATGCATCAAGGAACATGGAAGGCCCTGCAGACTAATGAACAAAGTCTGGCTACCAGTATTAAAAAAACTCAAAAATTACAACAGCAAAACAGCAGAGAGGAAACAACCAGGCACATAGAATCCTAGAATCAAAGAGTTGGAAGAGACCTCCTGGGCCATCCAGTCCACCCCCATTCTGCCAAGAAGCAGGAATATTGCATTCAAATCACTCCCGACAGATGGCCATCCAGCCTCTGCTTAAAAGCTTCCAAAGAAGGAGCCTCCATCACACTCCCTCCGGGGAAGGCAGAGAGTTCCACTGCTGAACGGCTCTTACAGTCAGGAAGTTCTTCCTCATGTTCAGATGGAATCTCCTCTCTTGTAGTTTGAAGCCATTGTTCCCTTGCGTCCTAGTCTCCAGGGAAGCAGAAAGGAAGCTTGCTCCCTCCTCCTCCTCCCTTGGCTTCCTCTCACATATTTATACATGGCCCTCATCATATCTCCTCTCAGCCTTCTCTTCTTCAGGCTAAACATGCCCAGCTCCTGAAGCCGCTCCTCATAGGGCTTGTTCTCCAGACCTTTTATCATTTGAGTCGCCCTCTTTCTCTGGACACATTCCAGCTTGTCAACATCTCTCTTCAGTTGTGGTGCCCAGAATTGGACACAATATTCCAGGTGTGGTCTAAGCAAAGCGGAATAGAGGGGTAGCATGACTTCCCTAGATCTAGACACTAGGCTCCTCTTGATGCAATCTTAACACCTCTCAGCAAGAGATTTTCCCAGGCTCAGCCAGGCCTTCAAATGCTAATGAAGGTGATCAGTTGAAACATTCCCACCTAGCTCCAGCAGACAAGAGTTCTTTGCCCCACCCCAGCCATTCCACAGATATATAAACCCTTTTTCCTAGTTCCAACAGACCTCACTCCCTCTGAGGATGCTTGCCATAGATGCAGGCAAAACGTCAGGAGAGAATGCCTCTAGAGCATGGACATATAGCCTGGGAAAAACCTACAACAACCCAATCAGGGACATCTAATCCCCTCTCAACAAAAGATTGCTCCAGGCACAGTCAGGCCATTATATGCTAATGAAGGTGGTGAGTTGAAACATTCACACCTGGCTCCAGCAGACAAGAGTCCTTTGTCCCACGCTGGTCATCATTCCACAGATATATAAACCCATTTTCCTAATTCCAAGAGACCTCACCACCTCTGAGGATGCTTGCCATAGATGCAGGCGAAACGTCAGGAGAAAATGCCTCTAGAACATGGCCCTATGGCCCCAAAAACCCCACCAGAACCCAGTGATTCCAGCCGTGAAAGCCTTGGGCAATGCATGTGGTCATGGATTTCCCCCTGGTTTGGGCTTTCCGCCACTCGAGTGAGGATTCCACCCGAGGCCCTTGAAGGAATGGAGGGGACCTTGTTTACCCTTCTCAGGCTGCGCGCGACACGCGCTGGGAGTTGTAGTCTTTCCGCGCACCGCTGCCACGGCGGCGAATGGGAGCGAGGACTACTCTTCCCGTGGGGCGCCGCGCCGCCTGCTCCTCCGCAGTGCACGCCGGGAAAGTGAGTTCGGCGTCCCCTCGGCAGCCTAGGCGCCGGCGGGGGCCGGGACTACACTTCCCGGCGTGCTCTGCGGAGCGCTCGCTCTCTCTGTGTGGCTCTGAGGCTGCCTCAGAGTGTGGCGGCGGCAATGGCGGAAGGAGGGAGGGAGGGAGGGAGGGAGGGAGGCCGCCTCCCGGGCCTCACCGATGTCGATGGCGAAGCGCTTGGCGTTCTCCAGGTTGCGGAAGATCTCGTCCGGCGGGAGGGTGATGCTCTTGTCCAGCCCGCCGCCGCCGCCGCCTCTCTTGCCGCCGCCGCCGCGCTCCGCCATCTTGGATTCATCGACCCGCTCGGCCTCCCTCATTAGGCATGCAAATTTATGCGCATCTATTTGCATCTTAAAACCAGGAAGGAGAGGGAGGGAGGGAGGGAGAGAGGGCAGCCAGAAAGCATCAGGAGAACAGAAAGGAGCAAAGCCAATCTATCTTCTCTATCTCTATATACATAGAATCATAGAATCCAGGAGTGGGAAGAGACCTCCTGGGTCATCCAGTCCAACCCCCTTCTGCCAAGAAGCAGGAATATTGCATTCAAAGCACCCCTGACAGATGGTCATCCAGCCTCTGTTTCAAAGCTTCCAAAGAAGGAGCCTCCACCACACTCCTCAAGGGGCAGAGAGTTCCACTGCTGAACGGCTCTCACAGTCATAGAATCCTAGAGTTGGAAGAGACATCTCCTGGGCCATCGTCCAGTCCAACCGCATTCTGCCAAAAAGCAGGAATATTGCATTCAAAGCACCCCTGACAGATGGCCATCCAGCCTCTGTTTCAAAGCTTCCAAAGAAGGAGCCTCCACCACACTCCCTCTGGGGCAGAGAGTTCCACTGCTGAACAGCTCTCATAGAATAGAATCATGGAATCCTAGAGTTGGAAGAGACCTCATGGGCCATCCAGTCCAACCCCATTCTGCCAAGAAGCAGGAATATTGCATTCAAAGCACCCCCGACAGATGGCCATCCAGCCTCTGCTTAAAAGCTTCCAAAGAAGGAGCCTCCACCACACTCCGGGGCAGAGAGTTCCACTGCTGAACGGCTCTCACAGTCAGGAAGTTCTTCCTCATGTTCAGATGGAATCTCCTCTCTTGTAGTTTGAAGCCATGGCTCCATTGCGTCCTAGTCTCCAGGGAAGCAGAAAACAAGCTTGCTCCCTCCTCCTCCCTGTGGCTTCCTCTCACATATTTATACATGGCTCTCATCATATCCCCTCTCAGCCTTCTCTTCTTCAGGCTAAACATGCCCAGCTCCTTAAGCCGCTCCTCATAGGGCTTGTTCTCCCGCTTGATCATTTTAGTCGCCCTCCTCTGGACACATTCCAGCTTGTCAATATCTCTCTTGAATTGTGGTGCCCAGAATTGGACACAATATTCCAGGTGTGGTCTGACCAAAGCGGAATAGAGCATGGGGAGCATGACTTCCCTGGATCTAGACACTATGCTCCTCTTGATGCAGGACAAAATCCCATTGGCTTTTTTTGCCGCCACATCACATTCCTGGCTCATGTTTAACTTGTTGTCCACGAGGACTCCAAGATCTTTTTCACACGTACTGCTCTCGAGCCAGGCCTCATTGTCCCCCATAAATATATAAATATATAATAAATATATATAAATAGTTGCCAGGTGTCCAAGCTGGGTTTAGGAAAGGCAGAGGAACCAGAGACCACATTGCCAACATCTGGGTGCTGGAGAATGGAGAAAGGCAGGGAGTTTCAGAAAAACATCTATTTCTGCTTCATTGACTATTCTAAAGCCTTGGACTGTGTGGATCATCATCAATGGTGGCAAGTCCTTGGTGGGATGGGCATCCCAAGCCACCTTGTCTCTCTCCTGAGGAATCTGGACAAGGACCAAGTAGCAACAGTCAGAACTGACCATGGAACAACAGACTGGTTCAAGATTGGGAAAGGCGTCCGGCAAGGCTGCATCCTCTCACCCAACCTTTTTAACTTGTATGCAGAACACATCATGCGAGGATGTGCGGGGCTTGAGGAATGCAAAGATGGGGTGGAAATGGCTGGAAGAAACATTCACAACCTCAGATATGCAGATGACACCACGCTGATGGCCGAAAGCGAGGAGGAGCTGAGGAGCCTTCTCATCAAGGTGAAAGAAGAAAGCGCAAAAGCCGGGTTGCAGCTCAACATCAAAGAAACCAAGATTATGGCAACAAGAATGATTGACAACTGGGAAATAGAGGGAGAAAACGTGGAGGCCGTGACAGGGTTTGTATTTCTAGGCGCAAAGATGAGTGCAGACGCAGACTGTGGCCAGGAAATCAGGAGACGCTTCCTTCTTGGGAGGAGAGCAAGGTCCAGTCTCCATAAAATAGTCAAGAGCAGAGACATCAGACGGGCAACCAAGATCCATTGCCTAGTCCAAGCCATGGTCTTCCCTGTAGTCACCTCCGGATGTGAGAGATGGACCTTCGGGAAGGCTGAGCGAAGGAAGATCGATGCTTTTGAGCTGTGGTGTTGGAGGAAAGTGCTGAGAGTGCCTTGGACTGCGAGAAGACCCAACCAGTCCATCCTCCAGGAAAGAAAGCCCAACTGAAGCTCACTGGAGGGAAGGAGACTAGAGACCAAGATGAAGTCCTTTGAATGCCACATCATGAGGAGACAGCAAAGCCTAGAGAAGGGAATGATGGTGGGGAAAGTGGAAGGCAAAAGGAAGAGGGGCCGACCAAGGGCAAGATGGATGGATGGCATCCCTGAAGTGACCAGACTGACCTTGAAGGAGCCCCTGGGGGTGGTGACGGCCGACAGGGAGCTCTGGCATGGGCTGGTCCATGAGGTCACGAAGAGTCGGAGACGACTGAACGAATGAACAACAACAACAACAACATATAAATAAAAATGTCATGTTCGTTTGTGATATTCACAGAACTCAAAAACCACTGGACGAATTGACACCAAATTTGGACACAAGGCGCCTAACAACCCAATGTATGTCCTTCACTCAAAAACATTTCATTTTGTCATTTGGGAGTTGTAGTTGCTGGGATTTAATAGTTCACCTACAACAGTGGTTCTCAACCTGGGGGTCGGGACCCCTGGAGGGTCACGAAGGAGTGTCAGAGGGGTCACTAAAGACCATCAGAAAACACAGTATTTTCTGTTTGTCATGGGGGTTCTATGTGGAAAGTTTGGCCCAATTTTGTCATTTTTGTGGTTCAGAATGCTCTTTGATTGTAGGTGCACTATAAATCCCAGCAACTACAACTCCCAAAATATCAAGGTCTATTTCCCCCAAGCTCCACCAGTGTTCACATTTGGGCATATTGAGTATTTGTGCCAAGTTTCGTCCAAATCCATCATTGTTTGAGTCCACAGTGCTCTGGATGTAGGCGAACTACAACTCCAAAACTCAAGGTCAATGCCCAACAAACCTTCCAGTATTTTCTGTTGGTCATGGCAGTTCTGTGTGCCAAGTTTGGTTCAATTCCATAATTGTTGGAGTTCAGAATGCTCTTTGATTGCAGGTGAACTATAAATCCCAGCAACTACAACTCCCAAATGACAAAATCAACTCCCCCAAACCCCACTAGTATTCAATTTTGGGTGTATAAGGGTATTTGTGGCAAATTTGATCCAGGGCAAGATGGATGGAGGGCATCCTTGAAGTGTCTGGTTTGACCTTGAAGGAGCTGGGGGTGGTGACGGTCGACACATCATGAGAAGACAGGAAAGCTTAGAGAAGGGAATGATGCTGGGGAAAATGGAAAGAAAAAGGAAGAGGGGCCGACCAAGGGCAAGGTGGGTTGGTGGCATCCTTGAAGGGACTGGCTTTACTCTGAAGGAGACCCTGGGGGTGGTGACAGCTGACAGGGAGCTCTGGCCTGGGCTGGTCCATGAGGTCACAAAGAGTCGGAAATGACAGAACAACAACAACAAAATTACTATATTATATCATATTGATGTATTGTCGAAGGCTTTCATGGCCAGAATCACAAAGGGTTGTTGTAGGTTTTTCCAGGCTATATGGCCATGGTCTAGAAGCATTCTCTCCTGACGTTTCACCTGCATCTATGGCAAGCATCCTCAGAGGAAGTGAGGACTGTTGAAACCGTGATTGTTTCCTCTCTGCTGTTGTCCTGTTGTAATTTTAGAGTTTTTTTAAATAGTGGTAACCAGATTGTGTTCATTTTCATGGTTTCCTCCTTTCTGTTGACATTCCCCACCTGCTTCTTGTGGATGTCAGTGGCTTCTCTGTGTAGCCTGACCTGGTGGTTGTGAGAGTGGCATTTCCAGCACTTCTGTCTTCTCCAATAATAACATGCTGTGTCCAGGTGGGCTCCTCAGGTGCTCTGCTACGGCTGACTTCTCTGGTTGAATTACCCTGCAGTGCCTTCCATGTTCCTTGATGCATGTGAGGTGCAGGTACTCGTAGAAGGGTATTTGTGGCAAATTTGGTCCAGTGAATAAAAATACATCCTGCATATCCCATATTTACGATTGATGGCAGTTGCAAAATGACAGTTATGAAGTAGGAAGGAAAATAATGTTATGGTTGGGGGCCACCACAACATGAGGAACTATATTAAGGGGTCGCCGCATGAGGAAGGTTGAGAACCACTGACCTACAACCAAGGGGCATTCTGAACCCCACCAACGATGGAACTGATCCAGACTGAGACTTGTGCGCCAGCTGCGTCCGTACCTCGCGAAGGCTGATCTGGCCGGGGTGGTCCATGCCTTGGTCACCTCTAGACTGGACTACTGCCATTTCAGTTAGTCCAACCGTCGGCGGCCAGGATGTTAACTGGCGCTCCTTACAGAGAGAGGTCAACCCTCCTGTTCAAGGAGCTCCATTGACTGCCGTTCATCTTCCGGTCCCAATTCAAGGTGCAGGTACTCACCTACAAAGCCCTAAATGGTTTGGGACCTGCCTACCTGCGTAACCGTATCTCTTCGTTCATCCGGAGAGACCCTGCTCGCGATCCCACCTGCGTCGCAAGCGTGGTTGGTGGGGACGAGGGACAGGGCCTTTTCTGTGGTGGCCCCCCGACTTTATTTATTTATTTATTTATTTACTATTCTTGTATACCGCTGCATCTCAAGCCCGAGGGCGACTCGCAGCGGTTTCCAACAGCAAAGGCAATAAAAACAGCAATAAGCAATATACAATTACAATCAAGTTACACATATCCATTAATAACTAATAAACAATCATCACTACACAATTATCACCAATCCCACCCCCGATCGCCTCATCATCCAAGCGTGATCCAAATTCGTTCGTCCATTGTTCCGTTCCTGTGTTCAAATTACCAAAATTGCACTGAATTACTCAAACGCCTGCACAAACATCCAGGTCTTCAACTTTCTATGGAATGTCATGAGAGATGGTGCCAGCCTAACATCTACAGGAAGGGCGTTCCACAGCCGAGGAGCCACCACTGAGAAGGCCCTATCTCTCGTCCCCGCCAACCGTGCTTGAGAGGCTGGCGGGATCGAGAGCAGGGCCTCCCCGGAAGATCTCAAAGTCTGGGTGGGTTCATAGGCCGAGATGCGGTCAGATAGGTATCTTGGGCCGGAACCGTTTAGGGCTTTATAGGCCAATACCAACACCTTGAATTGGGCCTGGTAGCAGATCGGCAGCCAATGGAGCTGGTGCAACTTGTTGTCCACGAGGAGGGGTTGTGTGCTCCCTGTTAGAATCATAGCTGCCGCGCGTTGGACTAATTGCAGCTTCCGGGCCGTCTTCAGGGGCAGCCCCACGTAGAGAGCGTTGCAGTAGCCTAGGCAGGATGTGACAAGAGCGTGGACTACCGTGGCCAAGTCAGACTTCCCAGCTTTGGAACACCCTCCCCAAGACGTCAGACAAGCCCCTACACTGGCGGTCTTCAGGAAGAGTTTGAAGACCTGGCTGTTCCGGTGTGCCTTTCCAGAAGAGGAAACTCCCGCAATATGTCCCAGAAGCACTTTACCAGAGATTTAAGACTGTCTGCGCATGGCACTCACCCTAAAATCCTATATTCCACCTGTCATACTCCGCACGTTTTAATCTGTACCTAGTTTTATTGTGTCATGGTGTAGTGTTTCTATTGTTTACTGTTATTGCTTAATGTTTTGATTTGCTTTATAATGCTATGTGTATTGTTATGTTGTTGTTTTATTGAGGCCTCGGCCTTTGTAAGCCGCATCGAGTCCTTCGGGAGATGCTAGCGGGGTATAAATAAAGATAATAATAATAATAATAATAATAATAATAATAATAATAATAATCTAGCTTCTTTGTGAATGTATCACAAGCTAGGATCTCTGGGTTGTTGTAGGTTTTTTCGGGCTGTATGGCCATGTTCTAGAAGCATTCTCTCCTGACGTTTCGCCTGCATCTATGGCAAGCATCCTCAGAGGTTGTGAGGTCTGTTGGAACTAGGAAAAAGGGTTTATATATCTGTGGAATGACCTGGGTGGGACAAAGGACTCTTGTCTGCTGGAGCGAGGTGTGAATGTTTCAACTGATCACCTTGATTAGCATATAATGGCCTGGCAGTGCCTGGAGCAATCTTTTGTTGAGAGGTGATTAGATGTCCCTGCCTGCTTCCTCTCTGTTGTTGTACTGTTGTAATTTTAGAGTTTGTTAATGCTGGTGGCCAGATTGTGTTCATTTTCATGGTTTCCTCCTCTCTGTTGACATTGTCCACCTGCTTCTTGTGGATCTCAATGGCTTCTCGGTGTATCCTGACCTGGTGGTTGTGAGAGTGGTCCAGCATTTCTGTGTTCTCCAATAATAATCTGCTGTGTCCAGGCTGGTTCAAAACCATCCCACGCCCCCAAATTGAGCAGCGAGTCCCACGTGAGAATGCCTGCAAGCAACCTACGCAAGAGAGAAGCAACTCGAGGACACACAGAGATGAGATTTATTTTGTAATTCACATTTAATTCAGATTCAATGCAGCAGGACTTTATAAAAGCACTCTGAACATTCACGTCCACACAAATACAGCACACGTTGCTTGCTCCTCATCGAACATACGTGTTGTCCTTTACGAAAGGCGTCTGAATCTCTCTCAAAACGAGAGAAGCGCAGAAAGATCGCGCGGGACCTTTCCACTCCGAGAATACGGGACTCTTAAGAAGACTCGTTTTGGGAAGGGGCAATACAAGAGTGAGTCCACACAGATCCTCATCCCGTTGAAGGACACGCTTAAAAAGGAAATGGAAATGAATCGCCATGAAGAAAGAGGCAACACAGTGGAAGCCCACAGAGAAACATCTTGATGCAAACTACGGTACGTTTTCCTCCCCAAAGGACACTATGAGCAGAGTCCCCTTCCTTCCTTCCTTCCTTCCTTCCTTCCTTCCTTCCTTCCTTCCTTCCTTCCTTCCTTCCTTCCTTCCTTCCTTCCGGCCTTCGATGCTGTGAAGGCTTTGGCCAAGATGCCTGGGAAGCCTCTTTTGAGCAAAACCACCTGAATTTGGCCCCGCTTTTGGCCTTGGGAAGGAAGAGGCCCTCTCGCAGAGCTCAGATGAGCAGACCACCTACTGCAAGGTGCAGGTACCACCCTTCACTATGAAGGAAAATTACGGCACGGATCCGAACCTTTCTTGCCAGAGAAGAAACAGAGCCATCCCCACCACCACGTCCACCTCCTCCTCCTCCTCCCATGGAAACCAAATGCTTCCTACTGTTAAAAGAGGGGCTTTGAAACCAAGGAACCCTCTGGGTTTGCATTGCTTGGGAGCCCAGCTGAGCCCGAGCGCAGCCGGGAGCCCCGCCTTCACCTTGGTGTGAGCCGCAGCGGAGAGTTCCGCAGTTCCTGGGACCAAAGTTTGGGACCAACACGGGAGACCCTACTAAAAGCAGCTCGATATCACAGCCTTGGCTCTACCAGGGTCTCCAGAGCGTTGCCGTCACGCTTGGTGGGCTCTTGCTGGAAGGTTTCGGTCTGGACGGAGGACAAGGGGACGGTGGCGCATAGCAGCGCATGAGAGCAGAGCTTGGCGGCGCTCCTTCGACCGTCACCTGGACTTTGCAGAAATGCTTCAGCAGCCGAGCTTGGGCTTCCTTTTTGGGCTCGCACAAGGAGAGGAAATGCAACGCCTCTCTCAGGCAGCGCAGGTAGCCCGTGTTGAAATCGAATTCTGGGCTCTTCGGGCTGAACGCTGTCAAGGAAAGAGAGGGGAGAACATTCACATCTATTATTCACATCATATGTGGTTCCATATACTGCCTGATATGGCCAGTGTAGACCAGTGGTTCCCAGCCTGTGGTCCATGGACCACCAGTGGCCCACAATAACGAAAGCATGGTCCTGCATGATGTGGTCAAAGAGATCAGGCACACTTTCGAACTTGGAGGACGTAGACTAGCACTCTCTGATAGTAGGACTGGCAACCCGGTGATGGAAGGAAGGAAGGAAGGAAGGGAAGGAAGAAGGAAGGAAGGATGATAGGAAGGGAAGGGTGGAGGGAGGGAGAAAAAGGGAAAGAGGGAAGGAAGGAAACACAAAAAGGAAGGGAGGATAAAAGGGTGAAAGGGAAGGAAGGAAGGCAAAAGAGAAGGAAGGGAAGGAGGAAGGAAAGAAGGAAGAAAGGATGAAAGGGAGAAGAGAAAGGTGGAAGGAGACGGAGAGGGAAGGAGGGAGGAAACAGGGAAGGAAGGAAACACAAAAGGGAAGGGAGGATAAAAGGGTGAAAGGGAAGGAAGGAAGGCAAAAGAGAAGGAAGGGAAGGAGGAAGGAAAGAAGGAAGAAAGGATGAAAGGGAGAAGAGAAAGGTGGAAGGAGACGGAGAGGGAAGGAGGGAGGAAACAGGGAAGGAAGGAAACACAAAAAGGAAGGGAGGATAAAAGGGTGAAAGGGAAGGAAGGCAAAAGAGAAGGAAGGGAAGGAGGAAGGAAAGAAGGAAGAAAGGATGAAAGGGAGAAGAGAAAGGTGGAAGGAGACAGAGATGGAAGGAGGGAGGAAAGAGGGAAGGAAGGAAACACAAAAAGGAAGGGAGGATAAAAGGGTGAAAGGGAAGGAAGGCAAAAGAGAAGGAAGGGAAGGAGGAAGGAAAGAAGGAAGAAAGGATGAAAGGGAGAAGAGAAAGGTGGAAGGAGACAGATGGAAGGAGGGAGGAAAGAGGGAAGGAAGGAAACACAAAAGGGAAGGGAGGATAAAAGGGTGAAAGGGAAGGAAGGAAGGAAGGCGAAAGGGAAGGATAGAGGAAAGAGAGAAGGAAACACAAAAGGGAAGGAAGGTAGGAGAAAGGAAGAGAGCGAGGAAAGAGGCAAGGAAGGAAGGATAAAAAGGTGGGAGGGAAGGATGGAAGGAGAAAGAAGGAGACAGGGAGGAAGGCAGGGAGGTAAGGTGGAAGGAAGACAAAAAGAAGGAAGGAAGACAAAAAAGAAGGAAGGGCGAAAAGGTGGACGGGAAGGAAGGAAAGGGAAGAAAGGATGAAGGGGAGGAAGGGAAGGGTGGAAGGAGAAATAGGGATAGGGAAGGAGGGAGGAAAGAGGGAAGGAAGGGAAGACTAAAGGGAAGGAAGGATGAAAGTGTGGAAGGGAAGGATAGAAGGATGGAGGAAGGGAAAGATGGAAGGAGAAAGAAGGAGGCAGGGAGGTAAGGTGGAAGGAAAGACAAAAGAGGAGGAGGGATGAAAAGGTGGATGGGAAGGAAGAAAGGATGAAAGGGTGGAAGGAGAAAGAGGGAGGAAAGAAGGGAGGAAGGGAGGAAAGACATGGGAAGGAAGAATGAAAGTGTGGAAGGGAAGGATAGAAGGAAGGCATGAAGGGAAGGATGGATGGAAGGAAGGGAATCCTAGAATCCTAGAGTTGGAAGAGACCTCATGGGCCATCCAGTCCAACCCCATTGTGCCAAGAAGCAGGAAAATTGCATTCAAAGCACCACCGACAGATGGCCACCCAGCCTCTGCTTAAAAGCCTCCAAAGAAGGAAGACTACAGGAAAGAGAGAAGGAAGGAAAGACAAAAGGGAAGGAAGGAGAAAGGGAGTGGGAGGAACGAGGGAAGGAAAGTGCATCTCCACAGTAGAAATACTACACTTTGACTCTGCTCAAGCTGTCAAGGCTCAATGCTATGGAATCAGGGGAGCTGTAGTTTCTTGGGCAGAGAAGGCTAAAGCTTGTAAAACTACAACCCCCACAATTCCAACATGAATCTCCTTGGGACATTTGGAGACGATGCTCTACCCCAGTGTTTCTCAACCTGGGGGTTGGGACCCCCATGGGGGTCGTGAGGGGGTGTCAGAGGGGTCACCAAAGACCATCAGAAAACATAGTATTTTCTGTTGGTCATGGGGTTCTGTGTGGAAAGTTTGGTCCAATTCTATCGGTGGGGTTCAGAATGCTATTTCATTGTGGGTGAACTAGAAATCCCAACAACTACAACTCCCAAATGGCAAGGTCTATTTTCTCCAAACTCTACCAGTGTTCACATTTGGCAATATTGAGTATTTGTGCCAAGTTTGATCCAGATCCATCATTGCTTGAGTCCACAGTGTTCTCTGGAAGTAGGTGAACTACAACTCCAAAACTCAAGGTCAATGTCCACCAGACCTTCCCAGTATTTTCTCTTGGTCATGGGAATTCTGTGTGCCAAGTTTGATTCAATTCCATCATTGGTGGAGTTCAGAAGGCTCTCTGATTTTAGGTGAACTATAAATCCCAGCAACTCCAGCATTACCAAATGACAAAATCAATCACCCCCAACCTCACCAGTATCCAAATTTGGGCGTATTGGGTATTTGTGCCAAATTTGTTCCAGTGACTGAAAATACATCCTGCATATCAGATATTTAAATTATGAATCATAACAGTAGGAAAATTACAGTTGTGAAGTAGCAACGAAAATAACATTGTGGTTGGGGGTCACCACAACATGAGGACCTGTACTAAGGGGTCGCGGCATTAGGAAGGTGGAGAACCACTGCTCTGCCCTATCGTTCTGGGTGTTGGGGTCACACCCACGTGGAGCGCATAAGCGCACCCCAGCTCTGTACTCACCATGCCGTTGCATGTGATGCTGCTGCTGTTGCTTCAGGTAACTGACGGCCACTTCCAGGATGTCGGCTTTCTCCAGCTTGGAGTTGGGCTGGTGCCTCGGGAACTCCCTCTCCAGAAGGAGCTTCAGCTGCTCAATGCTGCTGTTGATGCGGTCCCTGCGCATCTTCTCCACCACCGGCTTCCTCAGCTGCTGTCGAGGAGAAAGAAGGGAGGCCTTCAACCTTGCACAAGTCTCTCCTCTTAGGATAATTCAGAGCTGGCAGGGGCAAACTTTCTAACTTGGGGGAGGATAAAAGGAGAAAGAGAGACAGAGGGAAGGAGGGAAGAATAAGGGAAGGGAGGGAGGAAGGAAGGATGGAAGGAGAAAGAGAATGAAGGGGGGAGGAAAGAGGGAAGGAGAAAAGGATGGAAGGGTGGAAAGAGGAAGAGAGGGAAGGAGGGAGGAAAGAGGCAAGGAAGGAAGGACAAAAGGGTGAAGGGTGGAAAGGGAAGGAGGGAGGAAAGATGGAAGGAGGAAGGACGAAAGGGAGAAAGGGAAGGATGGAAGGAGAAAGAGCGAGAGAGAAGGAGGAAGAAAAAGGGAAGGACAAAAGGGAGGAAGGAAAAGATGGGAGGAGAGAGGGAAGGAGGGAGGAAAGAGGGAAGGAAGGACAAAAGGGAGGAAGGATGGAAGGAGAAAGAGGGAGAGAGGGAAGGAGGGAGGAAAGAGGGAAGGAAGGACGAAAGGGAAAAAGGGAAGGGTGGAAGAAGAAAGGGAGAGAAGAAGGAAGAAAAAGGGAACGAAAGACAAAAGGGAAGGATGAAAGATGAAAGAGGGAGAGAAGGAAGGAGAGGAAAGAGGAAAGGAAGGATGAAAAGGAGGAAGGGAAGGGTGGAAGGAGAAAGAGAAAGGGGGAAGGAGGGAGGAAAGAGAGAAGGAAAGAAGAATGGAAGGAGAAAGAGAAAGAGGGAAGGAAGGACGTAAGGGAGAAAGAGAAGGAAGGAATGCAGGATGAAAGGATGGATGGGAAGAATGGAAGGAGAAAGAGAGAGGTAAGGAAGGGAAAGAGGAAGGAAAGAAGGAAGGAAAGGATGGAAGAAGGGAAGGATGAAGGAAGCATGAAGGGGTGGAAGAGAATGGAGGAAGGGAGAAAGAGGGATAGAGGAAAGAGAGAATGAAGAAAGGAAGGAGAAAGAGGAAGAGAGGGAAATAAAGAGGAAAGGGGAAGGAAGAACGAAAGGGTGGAAGGGAAGGAAGGAAGGAAGCGAGAGGGGGCGAAGGAGGAAAATGAAGGAAGGATCGAATGGTGAGAGAGAGGAGGGCCTGAGAAAAGCGCCCATACCTGCTTTAGAGCCAAGTAGCAGGCCATTATGGAATGGGTTCTGCACAAAATACCCAAAACACATCGAAGTTACCTTATTCTTTTCCTTGCCTGGCAATCTCTCCTCTTCCTTGCGGAGCACGCAGCTGTGGCTGGGAGCCATGCCTTCTCATGCGCTGCTATATCCAAGCCAAAGGCCACCTGATGCGCCCAAGCTCTCTGAGCATCTCTATTTATATCTGGGACGGCGATGTGAGTTTGAGCCGGCGCTGTTTCCCACAGTCTCCCAGCCAATCCAGGCACGCGGGGGGGATAATAGGGAAGCCCCCTCCTTAGCGCACGCTACACTGAGCATCAATGCCCCAGGGAGAATCACCTTCTGCCTGAACCAACTGGTGGAGTGCGCAAAGCCTCACGCCAAAGCCACGCGGAAATCTGGGAAAGATCTTGGCCCTCCAGCTGGCTTATCTGTGACCGGTTGCATGCCAGCTCTGTCCCACGTGGAGCCCATGCGCCGCCAGAGGAAACGGAGACCACAACCTCCATAGATGTGGGTGAAACGTCAGAAGGGAATGCTTCTGGGACATGGCCAGGCAGCCCGGAGAACTCACAGCAACCCAATAACAACAACAACATCATTATTTATAACCTGCCCTATAACCCAAGGGGACTCAAAAGATGGTGCTGAAACTGCACACGTGTCATCATACAAGTCTCTCTAGGTTACGTGCCAATTTACAACCCGGAACTGATAGCGGTCTTGATTTTGCGGGTGCTGAAGTGGAGTGAGGTTTGAGAATGGATCCAGTGGACTCCTCAAGTTCCTTTACTTGAAAGTCCGCACACCAAAGGAGACGTTCGATGAGATGAAAGAGGTCGGTGGTGAGGATTCCCCATCATAGGATGTAGGCACAAACTGGTGTCGCCGATTCCAATGTGGTCAGTCTTCGGTGGAAACAGCCCCAATTCCAAGGCGACCCCACTCTGCTATTGGTAAACACACCAGGCATCCAGCAAGTGGAGGTCGCCATATTGGAAAATAATCTATATAAATAAAATGTCATGTTCGTTTGTGGGATTCACAGAACTCAAAAACCACTGGACAAATTGACACCAAATTTGGACACAAGACGCCTAACAACCCAATGTATGTCCTTCACTCAAAAAACTGATTTTGTCACTTGGGAGTTGTAGTTGCTGGGATTTATAGTTCACCTACAATCAAAGAGCATTCTGAACCCCACCAACGATGGAATTGAACCAAACTTGGCACACAGTTCTCCCATGACCAACAGAAAATACTGGAAGGGTTTGGTGGGCATAGACCTTGGGTTTTGGAGTTGTAGTTCACCTACATCTAGAGATCCCTGTGGACTCAAACAATGATGGATCTGGACCAAACTCTACACAAATACTCAATATGCCCAAATGTGAACACTGGTGGAGTTTGGGGAAAATAGAATCTTGACATTTGGGAGTTGTAGTTGCTGGGATTTATAGTTCACCTATAATCAAAGAGTGTTCTGAGCCCCACCAATGATAGAATGGGGCCAAACTTCCCACACAGAACCCCCATGACCAATGGAAAATACTCAAGGCCATCCAGTTCAACTCCCTTCACCAGGGCAAGAAAACGTAAACAAAGCCCTCCTGACGAAGAGATAGATATGATTCACGCACACACATAGTATCATAGGAGACGAACAATGATATCTTGCATGTTCCAGGGTGGGCAAACCAGACGCTCTCCACATCCACACTGGCGAAGAAACAGCAAGAAATACTGTTTACACACAAGCAGAAAGAAATCACATAGATTAGAAACCAACACTTTCTCATTACTTTATTTTCCAGATCAACAGACTGGGCCACAGCAACGCCTGGCAGGGGACGGCTAGTAATACATAATAATAAAACGTTATTTATACCCCGCCACCATCTCCCCAAGGGACTCGGAGCGGCTTACATGAGGCCAAGCCCAACAACAAATCAATACCAAAAAAAAAGCAATAAGCAAAAACAATACTATACTATACAATTAATATAAATCACATATAAACAATAAGCAATAACACACAAGGATTTAATTACCTATGGCCAGACCAAATGTAATAGTTTAAAACCGGGATTGTGGCACCGCTGGCTGAGTGTCAGCTGCATTAAGATCACTCTGACCAAAAGGTCATGAGCTCAAAGCCAGCCCGGGTTGGAGTGGGTGTCCAACCAATTGTGTGTAGCCTGTTGTCAGCCTTCGCAACCCGAAAGACAGTTGGAAAATTAGGTACCGCCTTAAAGTGTGGGGAGGCTAAATTAAATGATTTATGAGGCCATAAAGAAGACTCGAGCAAAGCATTCCAGCGGGGAAGCATGCGGGGAATGCGGAAGTGCTTCATCAGCGTCGCAGATGGACGATGAAAGCGACAGCTCCCCTGGCGGCCAGAAAAAGTTAAATAGCCTCTGTGTCAGGCCCGTAGCCAGGATTGTATGTCAAAAATTGGCATTGAATGTTTGCCATATATGTGTACACTGTAATCCGCCCTGAGTCCCCTGCTATGGGGTGAGGAGAAGGGCGGAATAGAAAAGCTGTAAATAAATAAATAAATAATACACATGAAAACATTGCGATGACCTTTCCCCGAGCTGGCTTCTCGTCTACCAGCCAGGCGAGAACTCCGCCTGACACACAAATCAAGACAAGCTTGCCGGGTCAGGTCACTGTCAAGGCTTTCTATACTTTCAGTATCATCTTCCCTCTGTCTATGTCTGTATATGTTGTATGTCAAAACTGGCATGGAATGTTTGCCATATATGTGTACACTGTAATCCGCCCTGAGTCCCCTGCTATGGGGTGAGGAGAAGGGCGGAATAGAAAAGCTGTAAATAAATAAATAAATAATACACATGAAAACATTGCGATGACCTTTCCCCGAGCTGGCTTCTCGTCTACCAGCCAGGCGAGAACTCCGCCTGACACACAAATCAAGACAAGCTTGCCGGGTCAGGTCACTGTCAAGGCTTTCTATACTTTCAGTATCATCTTCCCTCTGTCTATGTCTGTATATGTTGTATGTCAAAATTGGCATTGAATGTTTGCCATATATGTGTACACTGTAATCCGCCCTGAGTCCCCTGCTATGGGGTGAAGAGAAGGGCGGAATATAAATGCTGCAAATCAGTCAATCAATCAATCAATAATAAAAATTTAAAAATAAATAAATAAACGCTGGGCATGAACAAAGTAGGATATATCTGGTAGGAGAGTTTTCAAGAGAAATGAGGGGAGCGCAGTCCAACCCAATCCAATAGTTAAAGTGCATTCTGAGGATATTTTGCTGGGAATCGTTTCCTTATTCCGGGAAGGCACACTGGAACCGCCATGTTTTCAGGCTCCTCCAAAAGACTGCCAATGTTGGGGCATGCCTGATGTCCTTGGGAAGTGAGTTCCAGAGTCGGGGGGCCACCACCGAAAAGGCCCTCTCCCTCGTCCCCACCAATCACGCCTGCAAGGGAGGCGGGAGCGCGAGCAGGACCTCTCCAGATGATCGAAGGGATCGCCTGGGTTTGTACACAGAAATGCGGTCAGGGGAAATCTTTAATGAACGCCCCTCGGACGCCCTTGTTCCATCCTCCCCAAGTTGAACACTGCTAACCTTTTAGGAGAAACTAGCTGTACCTGCCACGCATTGCTGTGGCCAACCTCCCCTCCCTCTTTCTCTCCTTCTTTCTTTCTTTCTTTCTTTCTTTCCCCCCTTCCTCTTTCCTTCCTTCCTTCCCTTTTGTTCTTTCTTTCTCTTCTTCCTTCTCTTCTTCTTCCCTTCCATCAACCCCACATTTTCTCCCCTTTCTTCCTTCTCTATCTATTCTTGGACTGCAACTCCCAGCAGTCCTCCTGTTCTATCTAACTACCTACCTACCGATCTATCTCTACCTCATCTATCTCTCTGGAGGATTGCTGGGAGTTGCAGTCCAGGAATAGGAATGTGGGAATAAGCAGGGACTGGATGCTCTGAAAGAAATCCAAGAAGAAGAATCACAGAATCCTAGAGTTGGAAGAGACCTCGTAGGCCATCCAGTCCAACCCCGTTCTGCCAAGAAGCAGGAATATTGCATTCAAAGCACCCCACACAGATGGCCATCCAGCCTCTGTTTCAAAGCCTCCAAAGAAGGAGCCTCCACCACACTCCCTCTGGGGCAGAGAGTTCCACTGCTGAACGGCTCTCTTTACAGTCTGGAAGTTCTTCCTCATGTTCTAGTGGAACATGAGGACTACTTTCTTGTAGTTTGAAACTACTTTCTTGTAGTTTGGAGTGTCCTAGCCTCCCTTCTGATGTGTTTTTTGGTGTTTTTATGAGTGATGGTCACTCGTTGGCCTGAGAGGTGTCTTGTGTCCAGATTTAGTGTCAATTTGTCCAGTGGTTTTTGAGTTCTGTTCATCCCACAAACTAACTTTTTTTCTTTATATAGATGACAGTGAGGCAAAGATGGATGTCCCAATGCTAGCGAATGGGAGTGGGGGTCCCCTGGTCCCCTCCCCAGCCCCCCATGGCACCTTCCTTGGATTTCTTCTTCTCCTTGAGAAAGACGTGGCCATGCCCCTTGGATGGTTGTTGCAGCCCCAGCTGAAGGGACACGTGACTTCACGGCACATTCATGGCCCACAATGGCGTTATTAGCACCAGGCTGTGTGGGTTTGAGTTCCTCTGGGTTTCCCACACTTTCCCCCCATTCTGTGGGGACAATAGGCGTGTGCCTCGCCAGTACAGGCGGCATTAGTGACGGTGTTTGAGCCTGAATGCTTGGCGGGGGGGGGGGGGGGGGGCAAGGAAGGTCCAACTCCCAAAAGGCCATCTGGTTCATCGTTACACTCAAGCCATGTGGGTCAGGGGCGGCCACCATGAAGGTGGGAGGGACACGCCCTTTGACACCACTACGGCCACTTTAACCAGCTTCAGATATGAGCTCCCTGTCAATCTCAAGCTTCCCGGCCCATAGATGAACCGCCCCCAGGGCAATTCAAACGTACTGGGTGCCCTTCAAGGCTAAGGCATTGCAGTCAACATGGCCCAACAGGTTGCAGGATTATTTTGACCATGAACGAATGATAGTTATGGGACTGATTTCCTTGAAAGTCCATCTGTTTGTCTGTCTATCCGTCCGTCTGTCCGTCCACCCACCCACCCATCTACCTACCTACCTACCTACCTACCTACCTAC